AACAACCACTCTCACTCAACTTCGTCGTTTCATAGGTATCATCAACTACAACCGGATATTCACCCCTCACTGTGCAATTATTTTGAAGCCACTGACCGAATTACTTGGATCCAAAGAGAAATCTGTTACTTTGCCCCCCGCCGCCATTGCTGCTTTCGAAAGAGCCAAACAGGCCATTGCTCAGGCCACAAAGTTATCTTTCCTCGATACTCACGAAAGCACAAAGCCGATTTTGACAACTGATGCTTCGAACGCCACCATCGGCGCCGTACTTCATTAAGTTGTTAACAACGTATCTCAACCACTAGCCTTTTTCTCACAAAAGATGCAGGTTGCACAAGCGCGTTACAGTAATTTTGGTCGTGAATTACTTGCAACTCACCTTGCTATTCGCCATTTCCGGCACTTGTTAGAAGGTAGATGAGTTAACATTCAAACCGACCATAAGCCACCCACCTATGCCTTCACCGCCAAGCCTGATCGATATTCACCACGCGAGATACGCCATCTCGACTATATTTAACAGTTCACTACCGAAATTCGGTACACCCAGATTCGGACCAATGTCGTCGCAGATGCCCTTTCACGTCCTGACATCAACGCTCTTCACCCTTCCACGAAGCTGGACCTAGCCAAGCTGGCTAAACTTCAGAACAGTGATCCTAATTTTTTGCCCATTCTATCGTTCCCCTCATTTCAAGTCCCTTCAATTCCGATAGCTCTCCAACCCGGAACCATATTATGTGATATGTCTACCGGATCAGCTCGCTTAATCGTCCCCGAAGCTTTTCGACGCGTTGTTTTCGACCACTTCCATGGATTTTCTCATCCAGGAATCAGAGCAACGAGGGAGCTGATTATTGCACGCCTTGTGTGGCCCTACATGAATAAGGATATAACATCCTGGGCCAAACGGTTCATCGCCTATCAACTCAGTAGTTCAACTCGGCAAACGAATACAGCCATCGGTTCATTTGCCGTTCCTGATGCTCGATTCACACATGTTCATCTCGAAATTGTTGGTCTACTTTCCCCATCAAACGGTTTCACTGGTATCCTTACCGTGGTTGATCGTTGGCCAGCAGTCGTATCCAGCTGAAACGGTTGACTTATCATTTTTACAACATGGGTGAGTAGTTTTTGCATACCTTCCACTGTTACTACCCATCGCGGTTCAAAATTTCAGTGCAATCTGTTCCGGAAGTTTTCTACACTCTTCGGTTTCCGTCACATTTCGACTACCGCATATCACACATGCTCCAGCGGTCTGGTTGAGCATTTCCATCGCTACCTCAAAGCTGCATTGACTGCCCAAAGGAACCCAACTTTATGGTCATCTTCTTTTAACCTCATTTTGGTCGCTATTCTCTCCACTCGAAACAGTATACGATACAACCTAAGGTTTACCTGGTGAACTGGTTTCCCCTTCAAGCGCACAGCCCGAATCACCCGTCACATTCGTCACCCGTCTGAAGCAGCATATGTCCGAACTTCGTGCGACACCGACCAAACGATCAACGCGAACAGAACACATCTCAACCGATCTCTCTTCTGCACCATTTGTATGTGTCCGACATGACGCAACGAGGAAACCCCTCCAACCCTGTTGTGATGGCTCATTCAAGGTTGTAGAACGTCGCTCCAAATACTTTGTTTTAGAGAGAAGCGGAAAGCACGATGCCTCCTCCATTGATCGTTTGAAATCTGTCCACATCAAAGCACCCACGATCACATTAAGCAATCCTGCTACCCCAACAATACTCGCGCGTACCCAAGATATCCATGCCGCCAATCTCACTGCTTCCACTAATCGTTCGCTCTGTACCCTCAGCAGGTAGCTGATTGCGAAACCTGAAGTGAGCAACTTTTTGAATCGTTACTTAATTATTCGAGCATTTTTCCCTCTCATGGTCAATGCTCTAGTGGGGTAGTAATGTGGCGTTTCGTACCTTTATTTTGCTTCCATTTTAACACTACGTATTTCATCATTTGCATAATACTTTTTTGTTTGAATACAAAAAAGCTGCAAAAACGCGTACGTGTACATTTTCACAGAATATAAGCTTGGTCACGTGCTTCGACTCTCTCTCTTCTGATTTCGCTCGCGCTTGCAGCGGTCATTCGCCAGTCTCATGTGCTAACTCTGGTATCAGAACATTTCAGACCATCTTCCGAATCTAGTACATATGGGAACTGTCCAGAAGAAGACCTCCGGACCAACATAATTGGATTATTGTTCATGCGCTGACCTGGGCCAACGGCGAACTATTTTAAAGGGAACGATTGTTAGTATGTATGTTCCATCTGACCTCTTTATTACTGTATACCCAACCTAGCGTTATTATTTTTATTTCTTTGCCACACACTCCTGGGTGTCCAGACCACCACACCGCTCACTATTCGCACAATGGGATTAATTTCTCGAAATCTACGGCATTGCCAAGCTTGCCACTTCGTAGTGTAGAATGTCTATGTATAATGTATATGTTCCTGTATTATTGAAAATCATTTGCTATGGCGATTTATTCGAGTGAGCGAATGCTCAAGGTCAATAAACACCACAGGCTGTGAATAGGTTGCCTGATGATGTGAAATCGCGAATTGTGGAAAACGTTTACTCAGTTACAGTAAACGAAACTTTCAGGTAGTTTTCCACCTGAAAAGCTTCCCTGAACATTCAAGAATCTAAATGGCCTTTGGGGTTGCGAATATGCGTGGAGGTAGTTTTCCACCTGAAAAGCTTCCCTGAACATTCAAGAATCTAAATGGCCTTTAGAGCTGCGAAATATGCGTGGGTGCATCCACGCAAACAAATTTAGGTCGATGATTCCTATCGCCAGTTGAAATTCCGTTAATTATTTTCTAAAAGTCGTGCACGTTTGCTGGCAAAAAACAGAGTTTTCCATCATAGGTTGCGAATTATGCCAGGAAGACCTCGAGGTTTACCGATTAGGAGCATGGAATCTACGTCGATCATACCAGACCGCTGAACAAACCTAACTGACTCACACGATTAGCATGCGGCTAGGGGTACACCATGTCAAAGCGCACCTACCCATCTGCACCGGAGAAAGGGTCAAAATGGTTGCCATGAAATGTTGAGATATATTGTTTGTTTTGAAGTGTACATATGTCTTCTGGGATGCGCATTTTCTTCTTCGTGAGGAGTGTCCATTTGGCCGTTGACGTCCTGAAATGAGAGGAAGATAGAATTTAGGTTCTCGAAATATCATATATATATCAATATATATTCGTGGTTGTCAAACATTTACACACGACTGTCGAGTAGTCCCTCTCTGGACACGAAAACACGGACGCACAGACTTTCGGGATACACTGTGCATCGGTTCAGGTCAACATCACAATACGCCCTCCTTGCGGACCGGGTAGCAAGCACACCTTTGCGTTTTCTGGATGGGCCCGGAGCTAAGAACCAAAAGTTATTTATTTTCATGTGGATTCACCCTCGGGACAAGCCTGAAGAGCACTACCACACAGCGGGCAAGTTTCACCATCACAACAGTCGGCGTGATATGATACGCGACCGGTTGCACACCAGCGATCACTGGTAGTAGTCAGCCGGTCACAGAGCACGCAAACGCATCAGTCAGCGTTATACGACCGCCATCTGGGTTTAGGTGCAGTATCCTCGACCACCAACGGCAGGTCGTCAGTTGCAGAGGTTGAGCCTTGACGAGGCAGGATTTGTCCCCGAACAATCAATCACTTAAAAATTGGCCGTGGCCCTCCAGGGTTCTAGCATCTGGAGCTTATCCACCACTCGGTTCAGTTGTTAACGAAGGCCGTCGAAAGCTGTCGGCGGTGGTTTGGAACAGTTGTAAGGGGTGCATCTTTTCCCGGTAGGTTGTAATCCGACAGCCAACGTTGGTGGATTGGGAGGCCCGCTAAGAAAAAAATCAATAATGAATAGTTCTTACTGCTCGAACGGACTGATCTCGAAATACAGAGAACAGGCGTATGCAGGGGAGCCACGTAGCCCGGTAGAAAGGGCATGTGCATTCTCCAGCACAGGTGTCGGCAGCCTGGGAGCATCTGGGCATTTGAACCGCGGACTATAAGTTAGTTTACATAGCTCGACCTCAGCTGGTTTGTTCCAACAATTTCATACGGCGGTCGTGGACCCAAAGGTCTCAGAACGGGAGAGCACGCATATGTCGTCATTCGACAGACCACGTTTAGAACTGTGCGTGTTTGGCCCATCTTCGGGTGACGTATGGCCAGCGGGCCGTAAAGTAGGAAACAAATCGAGGATCGGTGCGGAACCGAAGCCGCAGATCTTGCCGGAATCTGTCTGCTTGTAATACGATGAACAAAAGCCTAGTGTACAGCGTTGTCCAGGCGAACCACGCGGTGAAATATGTACCGGCTATTCGCAGAATGTGTCCATGACCAAAAATACATGGATAATAAATGAAACATACGTGATTCCTGATGGCTTGGACATGAAAGTAGCAAAGCATAACGTCGCAGCCAAACACGACTCTTGCTGTACACATTTGCGCCGCCAACTTTTCCATTACAAGGGCTTCAACCAGATAAGCCTCGCCCATCAGTTCCTGAATAGGTCGAACCGTTTACGCATGGGAGCAAACTGTTCGCTCTCTACGAATGTAAACATAACCGGGCGCCCGGTTCCCATGCCGTCCGTTACCAAGATGTACAGCTAATATATACATGCCGAATATTAGGTGCCTTAAAAAACTTACCCAATGCGGTTTGTTGCATGCGTTCCGTCTACACTCATTGTATCTGAAAAGCGTCGGAACAACGCTATTTGCTGCCACCGAGATAGGCCTATGTGGCCATAGTGACCTTTCTCTGACTGGCTCAAAAGCATCCATCCGGTCTCCCCAAGTTTTGCCAGGACCGAATACATATAGTCTGACACATTAAAACCCCAACTATGCGGCACCTATTCAACACAGCCGGTTGACACTCACGGCGGTAGTTGTATATATCCTGGGTGGTAAGAATCTTACCGAATTCATCCGCGACAAGCTGCCGCACCTCACATGAGGGCGTTTCACATTTCAGCAGGGCCCTGCAGGTGTCCAAATCATCTTCGGTTAGCCGTCGATTAACTGGAAGCCAGGCGTACAGAAACTTTGACAGCTTGTGGTTTTGTTCAAGAAAATGAAGAGTGACTGCCAGTAGGTTCCTTTGCCTCCGTAGACAAGGCCGCACTGGACAGCTGGTGCTTGGCGTACCTTTTTATTAGAAAATGCGCTCGGCTCGCTAGTTTCTTCGGATTCCCCGGCTTTCCGCTGGTCTTGGAGGGCGCCTGCTGTAGTACACCCATTCGTAACGCAAACGGCGTTGGTGCTTTGATTACTGGATGCACGCAAAAATACCATAACGTTATCCTTCATGTATTGACACACCCACAAATTTCTCAATGAACGATTGTGAATCCACTTTCGAAGACGTAGCACACGAAGCTCAAAGCCGAATGTGCGCCGATAATTTTCAAAAGAGATCGATTAAAACAAATCGCAAAAAAGTGACGGCAAGTGGGTTAATTTTTGGGCTGAGCACATATGCGAAGAAGTGCAACATTTTGACGTTAAAGTTTCCATTTCACCCGCAGGCGTGTTGCAGAAAATGAAGTGTGCGTCGAAGGCGTGGCGCATAAATTAATGTCTAATAACGTTTTGAACTGGGTTCTAGAAGGAACACGGGCAACCGTCGGAGAAAGGTAATTTCATGCAGGTACTACCCGAAATCAGGAAACATTTCGCCTGATGAATGTGTGCGCTCTGAGCTTGAAAATCTTCTTAACATGTTCCCGCCATGTGTTTGTTGGGTCAATGGTGAAAAATCTACCGGTCAAGGTTTGTTCAAACAGGGCTTGAGTGAGAATTAGGTCCACTCGAAGGCGGCGATACTCCAGGGGAAAGAGGTCTAGCACCACGAGACACGTTTCATAGTCCACAGATTTGAGGCCGGCAACCATTTTCGTAGCGGCTCGCCGGACACGCTCAACGGGGGTGGCGTCTTTCGTGCGTCCTGAGTAGACAACTCGGTTGGCGTATTCCAGGAGCAGTCTGACGTAGGTCCCATAGAGTATTTGGAGGTCTTTGAGAGTAAAACGGTAAAAGGTGAGCCGAATCATCCGCAGAATGGCGAATGTCTTTTGGGCCGATTTCTCATGGTGCAGCGAGAAGAGCTCACAAGTAACAAGTTCAAAGCCTTGCCTGTGAGTACTCCGTCTTGAGTTCTTTTGACCAAGGTGTTGCTCTTAAGTTCCAGGTTTATGCAGATTGGACATTGTGACCCAAAACGAGAGACGAAATGAGAACTCTTACTGCCTACCCGTTTGATGCTATTAATGTCATGGCTTCCGCTAGTTTTCAGTGCGTCCGGGCCCAATGAGCGAGTCTGTGTGGAGCGCTTAAACTCACACGCAGCCCTGTTGTTTTCTGCTATATTTTGTATAGGAGAAACCTCGTCTCGTTTGGACCAGATTGAGGCCCATTTTAGGACCCTGAAGGATGCATCGCTTACATTTATAAAGTACCTCTACCTGATGTTGTGTCAGTCTGTCGTCAAAGGCGACCTCCCGCCAGTCTAGAACGAGGCGACTGTTACGCCAATCTACACCTATGGTTACCGCTTGTTGCCCGGCAGCTACAGGCTTAATGACCTCACTAGCATATCGTGCAGGGTAATGGATCGCATTCTAGAGCCGGCCATCGTAACTCACATCACTACCAACAATTTGATATCCCAAGCGCAACAAAGATTGTTCCCAAACCATTCTTGCCTGGCGAATATGCTCGGATCTATGGACAGCTTAGCCCAAACCAAGGACGAAGGATTAATATCGGATGCCGCATTTTTCGACTCTTCAAAAGCATTCGATTGCCACCGCTCCGCAAACCCAAATCTTATTGGACTCAAGGAGACGTGCCTGTCAGATAGAGCTTTCTGAGTGAAAGTAGGCTTGGCGCACTCTTTTCTGGTTCCATTTTAAAGCCACTTCTCTTTCTAATCTATGTCAACAGCCCCTCGGGTTCCATTACTACTTTTGCGGACAGCCTGAAAAAAGTGGCCAATGGACTGGCACCTTCATCTGGATAACAAAAATTGCGCCCGTATATCCATCGGCGGAGACTAGGCGCTTATGTTGCGCACGGTAAGAACGAGCCATAAGGCATTATAAAGGTTGATAGCAAAAATGATTTAGGCATCTGGCCCTCTTCAAATATATCTATTTCACCCCACCTTAAAAATTAGCTCAAAAGGAATTCATCTTCTCGCAGATGAATTGGCGCACCCCACATTACTTGCACAGACTTCAAGGTGCTCCATGGGTCTCCTTAGTCAGCCCGACAAAACGACTGGGTCCGTTCCCAATAGGGTCGAGCTGATATACACATGAAAGGCAATACGAAGAGACCTAGGCGATTGAGTAGAATTCTCCTTCGGTTGGGGATGGTAGCCTCAAAGGCAGGGCGTCAGCTGGGGGTAAACCAGCTGGTCACCTAACTGGTGAGAACGGCCAAGAGGACCGACATCTGTCAGGCTTCCACAATGACCAAACTCTGTAGTTATCAACTTTTCCTAGAGATACCATAAAGAGTTCAGTACGTGCACGCTTGTGGGGGCAGCGATCCAGCTCACTCGTTTGATTGCATTAGTCACCAAGGCTATGTGATAAATCCAGGGTAAGAATTTGTGCTTAAATGGCTGCACTGTAGCATATGGTGCCAACACTTTTGATTGATTCATAGGTATTGGCGATGCAAAAGCTCGCCTAAGAACATCATAAAGGTCAGATACAGCTGGGTTCTAGATGAGTCTCTCGAAGAAACCAAATTAGTTTGCAGATGAGTGTATATTCGCTAATTTCGTGCAATTTTGTTTCAAGTAGAACATAAGGTTGACGGAAACCCGGGGACTGCGCCTTCCTGATGAGCCCCAAGAAGGGCGAAGCCGGTCGTGGGCTGTCGATGGATTTTCAGCAACCCTATGTGTAGTACATTACAAAAATTACATATTATGTCTAACTACCGTTATGCGCTGGAAGGCGCTGAAATGGAAACAGCTATTAATTAAGTTATATCTGAAAAGTAAGTGCAAACTTTTATCGTATGCACATAGGGGTTAACCGAATACTTGTTATTGGGAGTGTTATGTACTATTTTGTGGGACGGCCACCAAGATTATATGAGCTCCATGTTGTACAGGGCGAAAACAGTCCACGACTGAGCAAACAGATTCATTTGGGTGCTACGCGTGGCATGTACGTTTGAAGGACTCCTGAACGACTGAGCGCGTCACATTAATTTTTACCCAGTACAACGGTGGAATAACCCACCGCTTGCGATATGGTCATATGTGCCGAGCGTTCGGGAGTGAAGATGAGCCTCGACTGTGGCACAAGTGTGCACTTGTCAGAACCGCAGAGGAAATGAATGTCTGGAATGTAGAAGGATATACGAGCGGACAGTGGGCCAAAATATATATTTCAAATGAAAGTAGATTTTGGTCGCGACGTCAGAACATATCACATATATGCAGAAATAGACGGGGAGGACGGATTAGGGCGTACGCTACGTAACTTCCCCTTGAAGGTCGCACGAGTTGGAGCATCCTTCATTTGGACATGATGGTGAAACAACCTCGTGATTTACCCTGTCTACAAAAATCCTATGAGGGATTTCGGGGATGTCCAAAAGAGGTAATAACTTGCGAGTGGATGCCATACGGGTCTTAGTTACGAAGAAGCTGTGGTGAATTATTTGTTCTTTTCACTTATTTTCACCGAGGAGCCAGACTAACAGAGTATAGGCCACCCAACTTGAAAACAGTGTATGAATGGATGGTGAATGCATAATGTGCCCAACCACTAGGTCTGTGGTCACTAAGGGGCCATACCCCCAACTTCTTGGATGTCTTCGGGGGTACCAACAGAGCGAAAATAGCGAGTATACGGGTAGGCGAAGGCTGAACCCACCGTGTTGGCAAACCAAGGTTGATGACGTCTTTTCAGGTTGTTCTGGGTGCATTAAGCGACAAGCAAAGCTGCTCGAGATGTAAGAAGCACTGAGAATGCGTCTTTAAGTGCGTAAGCACTATTGCGACCAACTAAGCGGGATGAGTAAGACCGCAAACAAAGGAGATTGCAGAAGCCTTACAGTATTGCGTGCAACTCAAAACATACGAGGGACGGTGTCTATCCCGTAAATGCTCGAAGCCAGTAAGGAAAACGCCTGGAATGGGTGCTTATTGGAGACCGAAAACCGCTAGAAGCATCCCAGAGGCCGAGGTCATATGATGCACAGCAGGAATCAGTTGAACAGAGCTAAAATGTGTTGGGGTTGACGTTTAATTTGAAGCAGGCCTTGCTTGGACGCAGAGGTGCCCAGTCCCCAAAGACCGGTTTGCCTGAGT